TTTAGACACCCCCACCTTTCCCTGACTTGACATCTACGAAAGTAACTCTATACTGATACTTATTATTAACACCAAACACCCGCCTACCCAACTTAAACAATTCGCCCAAGCTGTTACCATGGAAATTTTGATTTCAATTTTAAAACACGTAAATTTCAGAAACACGTTATTCCCAAAAAAATTTCGCTTGAAGATGGAACAGAGCTTATTTAAACTTATTTTGACTCAATTTAATTTAAATAATTATATTGAAGTTTTCGGCTCTTGTTTTGAAACATGGGACTTCTTATGTCGCGATTTGGAATCATATTTTTAAAAAAATAATTATATTTATGCTCTACTTTTGTATCGAGCACTATTTTTTAAAAATAATAACTAAAATACTAAGGGACTTTGGATTATTTACCTAACCAGTTCCTTCATATTTTCTATATATTTTCACACACACACACACACACACACACACACACACACATATATATATATATATATATATATATATATATATATATATTAAAGAAAAACAGACCACTTTAAGGTTCCATTATAATAATTTATTTCACCAGAGCCCTTTTAAAGGACTCTGGATCATCAGATAGCACTTCCAAAAGACTAGACGAAACGAAATGAAATGAAAATTCATTCTTTTGATGGGTAGTGTAAGTTTCTGTAATTTAACAGAGTAGGTAATGGGGGGTGGTTTGAGAGACATGGTCGAGTTTAGAGAGGGTTTATTTAATATTTCTTTCAATCATACTTAGCATTGGGGGAGGGGGGACCAGACCATGAACTATTTAATCGGTTAACTTGACGGAAGTAATATATTGAAATGGGAGGGAGAAGAGAGAAAAAAAAAAAGAAAAGAGAAAGAAGACTACCCATACGGATTACCAAGTTTTTCATAACTTATATATATATATATATATATATATATATATATATATATATATATATTGATAATGGTTGGATTCTTTCCGGACAGAGCAGTTTGTGCCAGAGGGTTATCGAAATAGATGGGGCAAATTAATCAAAATGACGTCACACAAATGCATTAATACTCAGCTGTGAGGGTGCGGTAATGGAATAACAGCACGAAATAAGACATCGAAGAGCCGAGTTCAAATTGTAGCCGAGCTTCGTGACATTCACTTTCACTCGTCACCTATGGATTAAATAGTAAGAAGGACTGGAAACTTCAACTTTGGTTGGCAACCAGTCTGTGAGAAAGATAACTCTGAATTCAAACAAAACACTATGTAGTATTGTGGCCGGGGGCAATATCACCCCGAAATAATAATACAGTGTAACCCGGATATAAGAGACCCGGATATAAGAGAAACCCGGATATAAGAAAGATTTTCTATGGTCCCAAATTAGAGCCTGTGTTAATGTATATAAAATAGACCAAACCCGGATATAAGAGAAACCCGGATATGAGAGACTTCTTCTCCGGTCCCGAAAACTGTCTTATATCCGGGTTACACTGTAATAATAATAAAGGAGTATATGCTGGAAAACAGGAGAAAAGGCGTTTTTCAAAAGAACCAAGATATTAAAAATACTGTAAAGACTTTGACATGTAAATCTTACAGATTTCATCTAGAAAACGAAATACAATTTTTTTCTCTTTAAGCGTACAAAAGATATCAGATTATTAATACGAAATAGAATTCAGAATGTCTTGATCTAAAGGTTAATTTTATCGATAACAGGACAGCATGAATCTATGTAAAGTTTACTAAAATTTCTCAGAGCTACACTTAGAACAATGGCAACACAGTCAGTGTACTGGAAGATGAAACGAGTGTGAAGTTTTAATTTAGAAGCGTGTCGGGAATTGGGGCGAATCCAGTTCCTAATAAAAGTATGTCAGTACGTTCGCACTAAAAAAAAACCCAAAAACAAATACGTTTCAAGTTCTTTATATAAAGATAGAGCAGAGTTGGGTTAGAGACAGTCGGAGAGTTGAGTTGAAGACTCGAAGAAGAGAGGAAGTGACGTCAGAGATTGGAACAAAGAGTTCACTAAGGTAAGCTGTTGATATAAGTACGAAGAAGCGAATTACTTCATCCAACAGCTAAGACTAGTACTTTTACTAGTATTACTACCACTCAGAACGGGAATGTCGAACAAGCTACAGTAATCAAAAAGGGTTAAAACAAAGCCACCTTTCGCTTTTAACGAAATTACAGGAAGTATTTTCTTTTGTTTTGTTGATCATCGTTCAGATACAAGAGATATTCAACTTTTTCCCACGAGAATTGTGTTATATGTATTGTTGATGTTATATATATATATATATATATATATATATATATATATATATATATATATATATATATATAAGAGAGAGAGATGCGTAAAAGTTTACTTGTTACGCGTTTGGTTCTTAGGACTTTGTCGGACTAAATTTATTATATTGTTAGGACTACGCATGCGCACGACAGAGAGGTGGTGGGAATTTTAGAATTTTTTTCTCTAGCCAAATTCATTTCGGGTAATTTTTTTTCACATGACTTTTGTAAGTAGGTATTCCACACTGTGATATTAGAATATCTGCTAAAAATGCTAAAATATTGTAAGAGTCAGTGTAAGAGCAAAATTGTCCAAGCTGTGTAACATCATAATTGTCCATCCCACAAAATCTTTAATATAAAAAAAAACAACACTAAATTAATTGAATTTCTTTTTTCCAGGTTTTCAGATAAACTTTTATATATATATATATATATATATATATATATATATATATATATATATATATATATATATATATACTTTTATCCCTCTAAAATAGGATCGACTCGGCTATATTTGTTTTCTGTTAACCCGATCCTTACTCAACACGCTTGCAGGTAGACCAACGGTGAGCTTTCGGAATTTAACGACCCGAAAGCTACTCGCCAGGATCACAAAAAATCACAACGTGGCCGGCGAGTGGAGTCGAATCGACATTTGAAACCGGAGACTTAGATTCAACCTGTAATAATGGACCATACAGGATCAACGGGCGGTTTTGTAGATGACATCGGCCCAGTGGTGTTAAGATACGGTTTCACATGAACGCCCTGACCAGAGATCGCGTTACAATTGACATCGTGCGAGAGGATCGGCGTTACTAAGTAAACCTGGAAAACGCGTAGTATGTAGCCATTTAATCACTGTGTCTTTTTCTGTGTGCCGTATCTCTTCACGGCGTGGACGATCATGGATCTCCACATCTTTCTGTCCTTTGTAGCCCTTAGTTAAGTTTGTCTTTTTGCTGTATCTTCTAATCCCTATTCTGACCACCATTCCACAAGTTCGTTAGTCAGGGGTTATGTGCTTCTTATTACCATTTTCCACTGTCCCACTTTCTTTTAATATATCCTGTGAGTGTCAAATTTTCCAAGGCCACTTTCCTCATAATGTGTCCTCATAAATTTCAACTGCATCTTTCTAATACGACGTAAAATTTTGTTTATATTTTCAATTTTTCCTAAAACTTAGTGGTCCTTCAGTTGTTCAGTTTTTGGTATTTTCAGCACCTTTTCGTAGAACCCCATTTCAGTGGCCTTAAGTCTCTTTCTTCATCTGTGATGAGATAACACAGCATTCACTGTCACATAGCAGTAACGATATTTAACTCATATTTCAGTACTCTTCTTTGTTTCTATTAAATTTTCCTGTTTCTTAATCCGTTGCTTAGCTTTTAGAGTAATATTACATAACAGTTCAGCACACTTTGTTTCATACCAAATTTTCCTGTTTTTTAATACTTTGCTTAGCTTTTGGAGTGATATTACATAACAGTTCAGCGCTGTTCGTTTCTAACAAAATTTCCCTGTTTCATAATACTTTGCTTAGCTTTTGGAGTGATATTACATAAAAGTTCAGAGCTGTTTGTTTCTAACGAAATTTTCCTGTTTCGTAATACTTTGCTTAGGTTTTGGAGTGATATTACATAACAGTTCAGCGCTGTTTGTTCCTAACAAAATTTTCTTATTTCTTAATAGTTTGCTTAGCTTTTAGAGTGATATCACATAACAGTTTAGCGCTGTTTGTTTCTAACGAAATTTTCCTGATTCTTAATACTTTGCTTAGCTTTTGAGGTAATATTACATAACAGTTCAGCGCACTTTATTTCTAAGGAAAATTTCCTGTTTCTTAATACTTTGCTTAGCTTTTGGAGTGATATTACATAACAGTTCAGCGCTGTTTGTTTCTACCGAAATTTTCCTGTTTCGTAATACTTTGCTTAGGTTTTGAGTCATATTGCATAACAGTTCAGCGCTCTTTCTTCCTAACAAAATTTTCTTATTTCTTAATAGTTTGCTTAGCTTTTAGAGTGATATCACATAACAGTTTAGCGCTGTTTGTTTCTAACGAAATTATCCTGTTTCTTAATACTTTGCTTAGCTTTTGAGGTAATATTACATAACAGTTCAGCGCACTTTATTTCTAAGGAAAATTTCCTGTTTTTTAATACTTTGCTTAGCTTTTGGAGTGATATTACATAACAGTTCAGCGCTGTTTGTTTCTAGCGAGATCTTCCTGTTTTTAAATACTATTCTTAGTTTTTGGAGAGGTATTGCATAACAATTCAGCGCTGTTTGTTTCTAACGAAATTTTCCTGTTTCCTAATACTTTGCTTAGCTTTTTGAGTGATATTACATAGCAGTTCAGCGCTCTTTATTTCTAACGAAATTTTCCTGTTTCTTAATACTTTTCTTAGCTTTTGGAGTGATATTACATTACTGTTCAGCGCTCTTTGTTTCTAACGAAATCTTCCTGTTTCTTAATACTTCAGCTCCTAGAAGCCATATTTTGCTATTCTAATGCGCCGTCAAATTTGCATATAACATTCTTCATCGTCTGTTAGAATAATTCCCAGACAGTTAAATTTAATTATATGCTTGATTCGTTTAACAATCCTGAACTCAGATATTTGGGCTATCACTGCTGATATTCTCCGTTCACTTATTCTCTACATGTTTTTGTAAACACTATTCCTCTCAGATTTACGACCATATCATGCTGAAGTGCCTGTTCTCACACGTTCAGCGAAGTTAAGCCAAGTCAACTCTGGCCAGTACCTAGATGGGTGACCGCTTGGGAATACCAGGCGCTGTAATCTTCGATGTGCGGGTAGTATAAATGTCTTACAGGCATATCACTTTGAAGAAACTGCGGTTCCCATATCTTCAGCTAAGTTAAGGCAAGTCGAGTCTGGCCAGTACCCAGATGGGTAACCGCTGAGAATAAAATTTGCTGTAAGCTTAGTTGTGCGTATGGAAATGGAAATCAGTAGAGCCGAGTTCTAATTCCAGTCGGGTTTATTATTATTCCATTATTATGGGAAAGGTATGAACACCTATCACCTATTCTCCTTCTAGCTATATTGTATCATTAAATCCCTATATATATATATATATATATATTATCAGTAGAAATCTTATAAGTATAAGAAACTATACTCGGTCGGAAAAGCTTCGGTGTCTTGATTTGCAAATAAACAAGCCAATACCAAAGGGAAAAAAAGTATGAAAAAGAAAGAAACAAGAACATGTACGTTAGCCGAAAATAATCGTCCAGCATGCAAGTTCAAAGCCCAAAGAAAAAAAAAACCGATACGAGTAGGCAAAATAACTAAATAAAGTGCGCAATTAACTATATATATATATATATATATATATATATATATATATATATATATATATATATATATATATATATATATATATATATATATATATTCTTTCTTTTCTCTCTCTTCTCACCTCCCATTTCAATATATTACTTCCGTTAAGTTAACCGATTAAATAGGTCATGGTCTGGTCCCTCCTCCCCCAATACTAAGTATGATTGAAAGAAATATTAAAATAAACCCTCTCTAAACTCAACCATGTCTCTCCCGTCACTCCTCCCTATCCTCTCTGTTAAATTACATAAACTTGATACTACCCATCAAACGTGCGAATTTTCATTTCATCTTTCATTTTATTTTTGGAAGTGTTATCTGATGATCCAGTGTCCCTTAAGAGGGCTCTGGTGAAATAAATTATTACAGTGTAATCCGGATATAAGAGACCCGGATATAAGAGAGATTTTCTCTGGTCCCAAAGTGTTCCCATACTTACCTAAACAAAATAGACCAAACCCGGATATAAGAGAAACACGGATATAAGAGACTTCTTCTCCGGTCCCGACAACTCTCTTATATCCGGGTTACACTGTACAAGGGAACCTTAAAGTGGTCTGTTTTTCTTTAAAATATATCTATATCTATATATATATATATATACATATATATATATATATATATATATATATATATATATATATATATATATAAAAGAAAGAACAGTAAGATATATAATCCGGTGTTCTTATAGATATTTTTATTTTTACAAAATAGACCATATTTCAAATCAATTAATTTATGATATATATATATATATATATATATATATATATATATATATATATATGTGGCGCAGGAAAGGTTGGGAATACCTGACTAAGAGCTACAAAGTCGTGGAGAGTCAAGATCGCTCTCATTAACTGAAGGGACAAAACGGAGAAGTATATGTGTAAGTCATTGTTGTAAGGTGTCACCGTTGCCGTCTCGTATTTTTTTTACCCCGTTGTTGTGGATAACGAGGAAATCCTATGCAAATTGAACTAGTTAGCTTTTAGCCTGGACACGTAAAGTGCGTAGATTGTTAATGAAAATATGGCGAACGAAAATTCCCAAGAGCGTGCAAGAGAAATATCACCGAGGAGGCGGCAACTGGACGCCATAAAATCACCGAGCAACATCGTGGAGATAATCGTAGTTAAGCGAAACGGAGATAAGTCGACGGTTACACGTGTAGCGCTATCTTAACCCTTTACGAATCTTACGCTGCGAAAGAGATTTCAGTTAGGCGCGCTCAATTAATATTCACTGCGTCACTATTTCTGTAATTGAACGAAAAAGAAGTTTGTCAGATTTGACGCCATTTTAAACACCGGTCAAAATGGCCGTTGGAATAGCGGGCGCCAACGAGACTCTTCCGTCTGGCCGATACGCGAGAAATGTGGAGAGGGAGCCGACAGGAAGATAAATGGGTCCGACGAGTGCTGCCTATGAGTAGAGATTACATTTTACAGGCGTCGGTAGTATTCCGGCGAAATCATCCCGAATCTTTGAATATTTCGAGGCAGAAAGAAAATTAAACAAATTCATTAACGTTGGGAAATGTAAATGGTGACACTCGCTTGGAATAAAGTGGCAGCAAGTCTCCTCAATATTTTAACACGGCTACCATCTGAAACAGAAAGTCACTGGCCTGACACGAGCGATTCAACGAAAAAAAATTAATCCAGCACATACCATTTCGTCATGGGTAAAAATTAGAGAAACGCATTCCTCGTCTAGGCTATTGCCTCGGGGCTCTAATGAGGAGTAAAACATTGCTCCGGGAATTTGGTGGTATAGGAATTATATCTTCGATCACTGGGTTGGGTAGTGGGGATTTCAAATCATTTTTTGAACTGCGAAAAAACGATAACATTTTCCGTACTAATTTATGGTACAATATTGAAAACGGGAAAAATGATTTTAACCAAAATTTGGAAAATTTGAAAACCTTTGAAAAGTAATATTTGCGTCAAAAAATCCTTTTATTTTTCTTCTCAATAATAACATAAAGACTTGGGGGATAAAACATTGGTTTTATTAGGATTTCGATACTTCTTTTCATTATAGACTTTAAATTTTAGTGATCTTTGGTGGTACATATATATATATATATATATATATATATATATATATATATATATATATATATATATATGTATGTAATTATACATGTATATTTATACGTATATATATGTGTGTATATATATATATATTTATGTATATATATATATGTGTATATATATAAATAATATATATATATGTATATACGTATATATATATATATATATATATATATATATATATATATACATATATATATCAACTGGACATTGACGTCAACGCCTGTATTCTGTTTCATGCTAAATCCTTAGGCTAAGAGATTACATTTACAGACTTCGAACGTATTCCGTCGAAATCATACTGATTTTAAAAATATTTTGAGGCAGAAAGAAGATTAAAGAAATTCATTAAGGATAATATATATATATATATATATATATATATATATATATATATATATATATATATATATATATATATATATATATATATATTATTTTTCAATACGGACAAAAACAACTTGAGCAAGTTGTTTTTTGTTCGCATGTAAAAATCTATAATAAATATTGCCCTACTCTTGGTATTAAGCCCTCTTTTCAATTAATGCTGTGAACGTTAGAATTTATATTATTTCCGTTCTCAGTACATTTTATATATATATATATATATATATATATATATATATATGAAGAAATATAGTCTTAAGATGTGCTATATTTATGGAATAAAGTGTTCAATATCAGAGATAGAGCGTGTGTAAATATAAAAGTGAACGTAGAAGTCAACACTTAGAGGCGACAGTCTGTTTCATGCTATATGCAATCGTCAGGCCACAATTGCATATAGCATGAAACAGACTGTCACCTAAGTGTTGGCTTTATGTTCACTTTCATATATATATATATATATATATATATATATATATATATATATATATATATAAAAAAACAAGCATATTTGTATGACTAATAGACAAATTGCCAGACGCCCCAATACCTTAGATAAAAAAAAAATCATAAGCACAGAAGAAAAAATAGAAAGACCAAACGCCTACGCATTAAATTAAAGGGCTTAATGTTTTGTGCTTAACGCCTAGACTGCCAAGAGAGAGCACAAAGCATTCCTCAACGTCAACTCGAACCTTTACTCAAGTTCCACGCTCTCGCGATTTTCAGACGACAAATAGTAGGTGTCATATATTTACATATATATTTAAGTAATTCACCGAATCTGAAAGAAACCTCAACAGAATGCAGAAAACACTGGACGGCCGTTTCGTTATATATTTGGGACTCATCACCGGTGCGCATCCACTACCAAGAATTGAAACCCTAACAGTTAGGTTGTCAAGCAAACATCATACCAACTGTTCCAATGGACCTCGGTGACGAATAGATTGAAAATCACACTCAATATAGCGCTGCTCGCTCATATATCCCGTGGTGAAACTCTTACTGAGTTCTCTGTAACCATAGGACTGTGCCCCCTGGAGCCACGACTACTCTCACCAAGCCGCTCTCTCTAGAGCATTAGAAGCCGCTTCAAGCAATGGTATACAAAGATAGTAATTATTAGGAGGATTTGATAATTATATTTAATTAATTCATCGAGTCTGAAAGAAACCTCCACAGAATGCAGAAAGCACTGGACGGCCGTTTCGTCCTATATTTGGCACTCATCAAATATAGGACGAACGGCCGTTCAGTGATTTTTTGCATTTTGTTGAGGTTTCTTTCAGACTCGATGAATTACTTAAATATAATTATCAGATCCTCCTAATAATTTATATATATATATATATATATATATATATATATATATATATATATATATATATATATATAAATGTGTGTGTGTATATATATATATATGAGAGATAACGATATATATTTTTTATATATCAAGAACAGTATTGGGGAACATGTATGACAAAGTGGAAAAAGTTTACTTGTGACGCGTTTTGTCTTTTAGGGCTCCATCGGACTAAATTTGTTATGTTGGTCGGACTACGCATGCGCACGACAGAATGATGCAGGTAATTTCAAAATTTAATTTTTATTTTATCTTGCTTAATTCACTTAGAGTCTTTCCTTTTTTTTTTGCATCACTTTTTTCAGTAGGTATTCCACACTATGATATTAAAAGATCTGCCAGAAATGGTAACATTTTGTAAGAACCAGGGCGCAATTCTGCTGTAGATGACAATTGCAATCACGACACACTTTAGACATTTACGTCATCGTGAATTATTGTTCACTGTGTCGTGCCAGGCATTTCTCCCGGCAGAATCCATTTTGCACTTTTACAAATCTAGCCTTCGTCCGTGCATTGAATATTGGTGCCATTATATCTCGATGTTCTTGAAAAAAATTCAAAATTCAAATTCTT